TAGGACACTGCTAGCAGTGCAAAGGAATACTTAGTAAGGACACCTAGCTAAATTAGACTAGTTTTAGTTAAAAGAAGCAGAGGACATAACAGCAATACTTTGTACTATAATTACTACTAATAGGGACTATTAGTCTACAGAGGGGAGAGTAGTGTAACAATCCTTATAAATTGTTCCATCTTAAGTTGCCTAGAACCTCTAGAAGGCCCTTGTATTAGCCCTAAACTTAACCTAGCCCTAACTCTGCCCTGCCCCCTGCTGTTACCCCTATTCCCTTATGTATTTAGTCGCACCTTGCCCTGTAGCTAGCTTAGTAGTTTTCTGATATCCTTTCGTACAAGGCCTATAGGTGTTAATAGCATTCCCAGGTTCAGAGTCCCCACGCACTCCCATATGCCTCTGAGTGGATTCCCACCGCATTCGGACCCATTGTCTTGCCTGCGCCGTTACAAAGAGCACACTTTTAAAGAAAGATAGAAGTTTATTATAAGAGAGACAAATTACTGCTAAGCCTTGCTTGTTAGGATTTATGCTTATATACAAAGCACAGGTTATATAACCTCTAAACAGGTCAGGGGAGGCCATACTAGCCCGTTCTAGGACATCCGGCCTTACACGATACATGAGAATTGTTACATTTCTCTTATAATACATTTCTATCTTTCTCTAAAACCTTGCTCTTAGTGCTCTTAGTGCTATCTACTATCCTATCTTTATAGTAATTATTCTAGTAGATTGCTTGCAATTACTATAATCTCTTTCTTAGCTTAGAATCTACTATGTGATTCTAGCTATTCTATTACATGACTTTATCTTACTTTCTAGTGTACTTACTATAGCCTCTATTGCTTTTACCCCTCTTTTAGTACAACTGTTCTAGTCTATGCAGTTGTAACATCTGCCTCTCTCCTCTTAAGCAGCGTCCTTGTTGCTACATCCTCTAGCCTGTTACTGTGTATATATAACTATAGATGTTCTTAAGAGGTTAGTCTACTTCTTAAGCTTCCTTCCCTAGTGTTTTAACTATAGGTAGAACTCTAACCTACTGCTGTTGTAAACGCGCTACCTTGTGTTTAAATCCTTTTAGTTATTTAAAAATCTATTTTTATCGTCCTTATACTTCTTTATTCTTACAATGCGTCTTAACTCTATTATAAGATAAGTATGTAGAGAGTGTTTATAAAAAGAGTTATTATAACACTTTTATTTCTAACTAAAAGTAGGCGTTCTTAGAACGCAACTGTTCCTAGCTCTTTATAAAAGTAGAAGAGGCAAAGCAAGCCTAGATTACTACTTTAGAACATGTTTAGTAAGCTTTAAAGCAAGTCTAGTAGGCAGCTACTTAGAAGGTATAATTAGAGAAATTACTCTAGCTTGTTTAAGATTTAGTAGCTAAATACATTGCTAGAGATTTTAGAGTTAAAGGCTGTTAAAGTGTTAGTTATAGTTAGCTTTTAAGTTAAAAACAAAGCCTTATATCTACTTTTTAGTACAGCAGATGGATATATATAGGCGGATAACATATGCGATATTAATTAATTAATACTATCTTTTCTTACTATCTTTTCTTACTATCTTTTCTATATTAACTTTTTTGCTAGGCTTTAGAAATTCTAGCAATGCAATTACTCTTAAAATTAGATCTATATTAGTAGAGTTAGTATTATGTAGCAATTTTAAAGTTCCTAGCAAAAGTGTACGTTAGTCGAGGCTAGGCGTTAGGTGCTAAGATATAGTATACTAGAAGTAATAGAAAACGCATTACTATTTATTACAGAAGTACTATAATTATGTTTTATAAAAGAGAGCAGTTTTATAGGTAATGCATCTTGTATTTTTACATGTTGTTGCTTATTCTTTTATTTTGTCTTTTCTAGCAATTTCTAAAATGTCTTTAGGCTACCCCCTAGCCTTATATTTTTCCTACTAGTGCTTAGAGCACTTTCTATCTTAGCAAGTATACTATGCTTTGTAGCAGCTTCTTAGTTCTAAGACTACTAGTAGAGGTAGTTATTAAGTTTATATTAGATATTCTTTATTTGAAATAATTTACACTAGACTTCTTTTCTATAGATAATTATTAATGTTGTGCTGTATTAATCTATATATGGTGTATAGATTCTAGTTGTTTTAATTTTCTAATTCCTTCTAGACTATTACTAAGGTTAGAGGTAGAGTTAGTGCTCATAGTTTTTATACTTATAGTCTAATAAACTTATTTTTTAGTTCTTCTAAGTCTCTATTTTAATTAAGTATGTTTTAATAAATTTTAGTTAGTCTATCTTTCTAACTTTGCTTTTTAGATTAGAGAATACTATACTTCTTAGTTATCTAGTACTAATGTACTTCACAGGCGAGTTGCTTACACACCTAAGTTGCTTACTTTTGCTAAGACCCTACTAAACTACCCTTTCTACACTAATGCATTCCCTATAACACTACTTAGACGCGCTAAAAAAAGTTAGATACAGCTTACGCTCTAAGCTTTTAAACAAGATATAAAACTCTTAAAGAAACATGCTGCAGCTATGTGTAGAGTTTTATAAAAAATAATAAATAACTACAGCACTAGATAACCTTTATAAGCTAATTCTATAGCTAAATTATAAAGGCTAGGTAATAAAAAGGAGCAGGTAATTGTTAAGACTATACTTAAGCTATATATATAAAGAATTTCCCCTTAGATAGCAGTTATAGCTAATATAGCTAATTCTTTGCGCACTAAGTGTAATCTAGGCTATGTTTACCTAAACTAGCCTAGTATATTTGTAAAGTGTTATTTAAAGCTTAAAGTAATGTTTAAGTGTAAGTATAACTATAAAAGAGCTCTCTGCAAAAGTCCTAGAGTAATTTAAGGCAGGTTTAGCCTTATAAAGAATATTAAAGCTAAGTATAGTATCTAGAATAATAACACGTACAACTTTAGTAAGATAGAGTTTATAATTAGCTAAATATCTTTTAACTATACTTACGCTTAAAACTTTACTTTAAGCTTTAAATAACACTTTATAAATGTACTAGGCTAGTTTATGTAAATATAGCCTAGATTACGCTTAGCACGCAAAGAATTAGCTATATTAGCTATAAATGCTATCTAAGAGGAAATTCCTTACGTATGTAGCTTAAGTATAGTCTTAATAATTACCTGCTTCTTTTTATTACCTAGCCTTTATAATTTAGCTGTAGAATTAGCTTATAAAGGTTGTCTAGTGCTATAGTTATTTATTATCTTTTATAAGACTCTATACATAGCTGCAGCATATTTCTTTAAAAGTTTTATATTTTGTTTAAAAGCTTAGAGCATATTTTTAGTTTAAACGAAACACAACTATACAACTTTAAAATAGTAAAAGAACAAATTATAAAAATCTACAACCTACACTAGAAGTTAGCCTAGTAAGCATATAAAGGTTTAGAACGCATAACACAGCAAGCTAATTAGCATTAGATATAAGAACCTAATATATAGCTAGAAAACTAAGTCTATCTAGACACTAGGAATCCAGAAGACAGAAGACTATCTAAGAAGCTAGTAGAGAAACAAGTTAGTCTGTATAAATTCTTAATAAAACAAGAACTAAACTTCTACTTAAGACTCTTCTCTTCTATAAAAATTTACTTATAATTCTATCTATTAAAATTAGAAAAAGCACTAAACAAAATTTTATTAGTAATAGTAAAATAAAAATTAACAAATAAATTAGAATATAAAGTAGAGCATATCTTATAGTCTAGAAATAGAGAAACGCAGTTCTTAGTAAAATAGAAGAGATGGCCTACTAGTAAAAACACTTAGGAACCTTTTAAGAACTTAAAAAATGCTTCTAAAGCACTAGCGTGCTTTTGTTAGAGCTAGTAAGAAGAAATTAACTAGGCAAAAGTTTGCTAAACCTACTAAACAAGGAAGTGTCACGCAGAACATTGCATAGCAGCGATGTGGGTCAGCGATCTAAAGGAAGAGAGAGAGGTTAAGGAGGAGGTCTAGAACTTCTTTACCTTAAGTGGACAACAACACAGTCTGTACACCCGCTGTCTAGTCTGCCCTACCTTTCTAGTTTACCCTAACACCACCGCGGCCCGCATATTTACAAGGCAACGACCGTCCTTATTAGCACGGCGCACCTCTAGTAAGTAGATATCGTAACAAAAAGGCTAAAGAGAAGAGGCTTTAGAAGAAAGAAGAGCAACTAGCTAAGAAGGCTAACTGCTAACTCTAAAGTAACATTAAAACTTCTAGGAAGGGTAGGAAGACTACACAGCCTATAGCTAGTAGGTTAGAGCATGTGGTTAAGGATTAATTAATTGTTAAAGTAGTAGAGTCGCCATGCGAGCAAAATCGCAGAGGTAGAGCTATTAAGCTTCCTGCACGCTTCTGCGACTAGCTAGTAGCCTTAAATTAATTCCTGTAATTAGCTTCCTAGTCTACTAAAAAACCAGGCCTATATTCTATTTATATGCTGCCATGGAGCTTTAAGTCGCGGTGCCGCTGTACGGCAAATTCCGTGCGTCAGGCGAGACCGTGCGTTGGCTGATTAAATTTAGTACAGGCTAATTAAGTAAAGTAAATTGTGTTTTCTAACTACTCTGCTGCAGAGTATTTATTTACATCTAGAACAGGAGGGCCAGGAAGGGCGATGGGAATGGTAGTAGTGGCTGTTGTGGCTTAGGGAAGGAAGATTTCCGTATCAGGAATACGACAATACCCATGTTGACCCTTGGCATATCTTCACAGCCTCACTATACTCTTTCATACATAGATCAACACAACGAAGGATTATTTTACCTCTTTACATATATTTGAAATCTAGAAACCGCCATTCTTGATGACGTTGATCTGCTGACCAGCTGTCAGCCTGATTGCGTGCGACGATAGATCGTCGCATCGGGAGGGCAGTTTTGGCCCCCAAAAGATCAAGAAATGGTGTTCCGCAGGATTCCGCGCCGCAAGACTAAATATATATTTTAAAACAAGGCTTGGACCTTGAGAAGGTCGGCATGGCCTATCACCTCGACCCTCACGCCATGCCGCCCCCCCTAGCCAGAAGACAATCCTCCGTCTCATCATTTAGCCCCGTATCATTGGGACTCGGTGTCCCCTCGCATCACAACGGGCTTTCTGTTCTCGAGACTAGAAATATAGCCCTTTTTTGACCTACACCCATCACAATAATGGAAGGAAAAAATCAGTCAATCGAGCTCCTCCGGCAACCTCCACATTCGCCTTCGCCTCCGTATTTAGCGACCTGGGGAAACGATGTCGTGCAAGACCCAGAGGAGAGGAATGGTTATAATGGGCGCATCGCGCACGCCATTGCCTATGATTGTCTGAAGATACAAACCAAGGCGGCATCGCATACGACATGGATGTTTTTACAAGACCCCGTTTGGCCGTTTCTCAAAAGCAGGATGATGAAGAAGCAAGCCTTCGCGCTGCTGTTGTTATTTCTTGGTGGTATTATTCCATTCATTGTGTTGGGCAAGAGCACGTCATATGACCGTTACCACGGCACAGTGGGTGTTTATGGCGGGATATTTACGTCAAAACTTATTTCATGTGGAGATGCGTAAGTTCTCTCTCTCGCACTTCAATTTCATTCAGAGAGAACTCATCCAGTTTTCTTTAGCTTCGGAGACCCTCAGAACGCCACAGTGAGTGGTATTGAAGCTTTGTTCGTTCTAGACTACACCTTTGGTTCGTTTTTATTCTCACAAGCAAAGACTATCGATGTCGCCTGGGATGTATGTGTCGGCCGAGGCGCACAATTCATCGCGTGGTATGTAGCATACGTCGTCTTCTCGGACGCCCTCCTTCGAGTCATCGAACGGCACCCCGCTTCATACCACACATTTACACGCATCTGCCTCGAAGGCCCGTCGCTGACTTTGATGTGGGTGCTACTCAAAAATATCTTCCAGGCCCAGAGTAAGCGTACTTGGACATTGTTCTTCTACATGCTACTATCGACCGGCTGGATTCTGAGCATGCCGACCTGGCTAAGCGCGATGACTGGTTACGACAGCACGACCATAAGCTGGGTGGATCTCGACAATTCTAACAATATCGCACCTGCATCCTCATTTGAATATCAAAATATCGTATACGGCACTTGGAACCACACATTTGACAAGAGTGCCTGTTCTTCAGATAAACAGCTCGCATATTACACCAGCTACTCATACACAGCAGACCAGAATACATTCTGTGAGTGACAATCACATCTTTGTTCTCAATCAACCGCAGAGAGATCAATTTCATGACAGAATCCCTCTTGCTTGATAAATTTGCTTTGTCTCGACCATCGCCTGCGGTAATGTTTCGTTGCATAAGCTTGAAGCAGGGTATCAACACTAGGGGTGGTTTAGGAGAGTAGTGGTCTACACGTACTAAATGCCTTTCTAGGTTCTTGCCAACTACCGAACGGCACACTCACTACTATTTCGGCCTGGACGAGGGAATGGCATAACTCTCGATCACGCAACGGTACTCGGCTTTACGATTGTACGCATCCTAGTCATAATTTTCTTCAAGCTCTATTCTACGTTGGCTGAAACTCTCTAGGCATCTTTACGTTCCCGGGAAACAATCAGACCTATAAAGACTTCTCAGGTAATAGTCACAACTGTGCGCCTTCCCGCTCCTGTGAAGCGTCCCTAATTGACAAATGGCAAGGCAATGGTACCGCCAAAATCACTTTGTTCAACCAGACCTATGACGTCCAAGATCTAAATTCCACTTTTGGTTATTGCTACAATGGCAAGGGCTACAGTTCTTCCGAAATTCTGAGTAAATCACGCTGCCTTCCTGATACTGCAAACCCATCATATAAGTGGGGCTTCTCAACCATGCTCTCCGGTCTATTTGTTATAATCCAATTCGTATGGAGTCTTACCATGTATGCCGTGTGGCAGGATGCACAATTCGGGAGTAAGTTGATAAAGGCCGGATTTCAGATGACAGAGTTGATAGCTGCATTTACACTCACGCTCGTTGCGAGGCAAAAGACAGGGCTGTCATCAAAGGAGTTGCTTCTTGCCGAGACAAAGAAACTAAAGCGGGAACTCTATGGCGGCAAGAACGATATAGAAGCAAAGATTGAGTACAATATTTTTATGGAGAACAGCAAACAATACCCAGAATGTGAGAGCGAAGACGAGGAAGAGGTTGTGCTAAGGAGGAGGAACGTCAGGTCAGAGGAGTTTGCGTGAGCAATCTCTACGGTGTTTGCTACACTCCCATAGATGTTTTGGAAGCCTGGTGGTGGTGCAGCGGAAGAGCGTTGTATTGATGTGGAGCCTCTGGGGCAGCCACGTTATGTGGAGTATATGCACCAGTAGATAGTGGCATGGTCTGGTTACACTTTATAATCTAAAAACGCATAATGTACTCCACAAGCAAGTTGCTTACACACCTAAGTTACTTACTTTTGCTAAAACCCTACTAAACTGCCTTTCTTACACTAATGCATTTCTAACAACACTACTTAGACGTGCTAAGAGAACATTAGATATAGCTTACAATTTAAGCTTTAAAATAAGACATAACACTTTTAAAGTAACATGCTGCAGCTATATATAAAGTCTTTTAAAAAATAATAAATAACTAATATACTAGACAACCTTTATAAGCTAATTCTATAGCTAACTTATAAAATCTAGGTAATAATAAAAAGTAGGTAATTATTAAGCACATACTTAAGCTATATGTGTAAGGATTTTCCTCTTAGCTAATAGCTGTAGCTAATATAGCTAATTCTTTACACGCTAAGTATAATCTAGGCTATATTAGTATAAACTAGCCTAGTATGTTTATAAAGTGTTATCTAAAGCTTAAAGTAAATTTTTAAGCATAAGTATAGTTAGTAGATATCTAGCCTATTATAAAACCTATTTTATTAAATGTTGCATAGAGCTATCTATTAGTATATATCTTTCTGTTGTGCTTGCTAGAAGGTTAACCTTTTAGCAAACACAACATTAAAGTTATATGTGTTGTTATTCTAGATGCTATACTTAGCTTTAATATTCTTTATAAGGTTAAACTAGTGTAACAGCACAGGCAAGACAATACGTACGAATGCGGTGGGAATCCACTCAGAGGCCTATGGGAGTGCGTGGGGACTCAAAACCTAGGAATGCCATGGACACCTATAGGCCTTGTACAAAGGATATTAGAAAATTACTAAGCTAGCTACAGGGGCAAGGTGCAGCTAAATACATAGAGGAATAGGGGTATAGCAGGGGGCAGGGCAGAGTTGGGGCTAGGTTAAGTTAGGGTCAAGCTAGGGTTAGAGCTAATACAGGGACCCTTTAGATAGGTTCTAGTCAACCTAAGATAGAACAATTTATAAGAATTATTACACTACCCCCCCCTTTATAAACTAATAGTCCTTATTAGTAGTAATTATAGTATAAAGTATTACTATTATGTCTTTTACTTTCTTAAACTAAAACTAGTCTAATTTAGCTAGGTATTCTTGCTAAGTATTTCTTTATACTGCTAGCAGTGTTCTTTAAACTAAATGCTACGCATGTAGTTATTAATTATTAGAGGAGCAGGTGTAATTTATTAGTTAGAGATAATTTAGATAAGATAATAAAGTCTTTCTTATAAGTCCTTTTTTCTAGATTATATGCTGTAAGGTAGGCTACTATAGCTTTAAAAAGGTTTACCTAGGTATGTTTAAAACTATAGTTTAGTACTTATAGGCTAAAAGAAATCTTCTTTTATAAGTAAAAAGACTAATCTAACTAAAATACTTTTTTCTTAATAGCTGTACTAATAAAGCGCGCTTTAAATATAAAAAACACCTTCTTTTTATCTATTTTAAAAGTCTAGAATTGTCCGTACGCAGCAGCAGCGTCGCGGCCTGGATACGAACGATCGCGCACGAGCAGGATCACGTATCTATGTCACATGATGCTCGTGCGCGAACCTCCGTGCGCGAACATCTAGATATCCCCCTTTTCCTCCGTACAGAGGAAAGACAAGAGCAATAGAACTAGAAACATGTTGCCCTCACCTTACCTACCTTGTACGCTGTGCACACCGTACACCACTCTTACTCTTGCTACTTAAGTGCTCATACCATAAGCAGCTAGCTGTCGGAGCCCATTCAACAAGAATACTTATTATGCTTTAGTTTTTTTTAACTAGTAATAAAATAAGCTTATAAAAGCTTTATTATATTCTTTACACTTTTAAATTAAAACTAGTCTAATTTAGCTAGGTATCCTAGCTCTAGGTATTCCTTTGCAATACTAGCTATGTGTCTCTATATTAATGCTATGTGTGCGCGCTTACTCTAATAGTAATTTAAATTAATGTTAAGTCTATTTAAAATAAAAGCTTACTATTATTTAAATATAGGTTCTTTGCTGTTTTTAAAATTTCTAATTTTAGGCATATATTTAGTAAGGTAGATTTACTAGGTTTAAAAAGTGATTAAAAAGTCTTTTACACTTAAAGTAGTAAAAGTAGTATAAGGCGTTATTAAAAGTAATTTAGTAGTTAGTATAAGTTAACTAGTAGTTTTTAGCTAAATTAGCTACTTTAGCTATACTTATAATTAAGTAATTTAATTATTAATAAATATACTACTAAAGGTTAACTTTAAATTAGGTAACTAGAGGTATAGCTTTATGTGCTACAAAAGCAGGTTTAGCTATTAACATAAATTATTAATTAACTCTAGAGGGCTTACTTTAGCTAAAGCGTATTTTAATTCTAGAATTAAAAGGTAGTTAGTTAAATATTAGTAGTCTCTAAGTTTCTACTTTAGCGCACTCTTTTTAACTTTTTTAAAGGCAATTTTAATTATAGAGGATAAGAAGTTTCTAACCTAAAGGCTTTAGTTAATAATAGGTCTCTAGAATTTTATCTATAGACTAAATAGTCTAATACAGTAGCTCTAAGCTAAGATGTAGGCTTTATAAGCTAGGTTTTAGTAAGAAGTGTAAAGCTTCCGCGCTAAGAACTAAGCGCTGTAAGCTACACTTACTATTATTACTACTACTACCTTCTTCTGTCTAAAGCTAGTTCTCTCTACACTAACTAGATTTAATAGTAAGCTATATAAATTTAAAACCTAGCTACTAACTATTAAAGCTAAGATAGTAGTAGATAGTAATATAATTAAAAATAACATAGGTTAATTCTGTAACAATTCTTACAAATTGTTCCATCTCAGGTCGCCTGGAACCTATCTAAAGGGTCTCTGTATCAGCCTCGACCCTGACTCAACCTGGCTCTAACTCTGCTCTGCCCTCTACTGTTACCTCTATTCCCCTATATATTTAGTTGCACCTCTCTCTCTTGTAGCTAGCTTAGTAGTTTTCTAATATCCTTTGTACAAGGCCTATAGGTGTTAATGGGATTCCTAGGTTATTGAGTCCCCACGCACTCCTATATGCCTCTGAGTAGATTCCTACCGCATTCGTCTCGGTTGTCTTGTCTTTGCTGTGCCGTTTCTAGTTCTCTTTTCTGTAAGCTCTCGTTTGTCTTATATTGTGTGTTATTTTTCTTGTGACAGGCCAGGCAATGGGTTGTGTCCGAATGCGGTAGGAATTTACTTAGAGGCATATGGGAGTGCGTGGGGACTTAATGACCTGGGAATTCCATTAACGTCTATAGGCCTTGTACAAAGGATATTAGAAAACTACTAAGCTAGCTACAAGAGAGAGAGGTGCAACTAAATATATAGGGGAATAGAGGTAACAGTAGAGGGCAGAGCAGAGTTAGGGCCAGGTTGAGTCAGGGTCGAGGCTGATACGGAGACCCTTCGGATAGGTTCCGGGCGACCCGAGATGGAACGATTCATGAGAATCGTTACGCTTATGTAATAAGGTAGGCGCCCCGCCTGCCAAGCCAATACTATACGACTTTCCTCACTGTACTAAAAGGTACGCACGAGAATACTTAAGCTAAGTATTCTCACATAGTATAATATATATATAGGTAATGCTAGGGTAAGCACTAGCACTAGCAGTTGTCTCTAGCCTAGCCTAAACCTCTATAAGCAAGAGAAGGCCACGTGGTCAACCGCGTTAACCTTGTTACAAATATAAAGTTTATTAAAATAAAAAGTAGCATAGAACTTCTTAAGAAGCTCTAGCTAGAAGTAGTAGACACAGCAACATAGCTATATAATATAAGCCTGTTACACATATATAAACTACACTTACTAAATAAACTCTTAGACATATAGTTTACTAAATACTTTAAATACTATAAGCTAGAGTAAGTAAAAAGTGGTATAGCTAATCTAAAGCCTAATTAAAGCAGGATATTGATATATAGCTGTTATATCTACCTACTTAACAGAAAGTAAGCAGCTAGGTGTTAAAAGCAAAGCTTTAAAGTAACTTTATAAATCTATATAAAATATTTTATAAGCTATAAAGCTTTAAATATTTATAAAATATAAGTTTTATTACTTAACTAAGTAATTACTATTAAAATATAGTGTTTAATAAGACACACTTTTATAAAAATAAAAGTAATAAAGTAATCTTTTAAAAAAAAGCTTTAAAATTTTTAAAATTTTTAATAAGTAAAGTAAAATTTATAATAGAAAAAAAGCGTTTAAGCTTTTACTTTAAAAGTTAAATAAGTAGTAAAGTTGTTGCGTTTTGCTAAAAGGTTAACCCCTAGCTAGCATAGCAGAAGGATATATATAGACGGATAGCTGTATGCGACACACCACCTAGCTTAAACAGTGGAACGAGAGAGGTAAAATAACCTTAACACACTCTTCTAGCCTAAGCAACAGAGCTTAGAGACAGATCTAGTAAAGTAGCCTCTATAATAAACGCACTGCCTAAATGCTCTTGCTAAGAATAGGAATTAAACACATAGTGTTTAGAGATAATGCAATCTTATTAGTAGAGTAGGGATGCAAAAATTTTTATGCGCTAACTATCTACACTACTCTGTAAACTAGGCTTATAACTATTGCGTTTGCGAAAAGGTTAACCTCTAGCTAGCATAGTAGAAGGATATATATAGACGGATAGCTGTATGCGACACACCCCCTAGCCTGAACAGTGGAACGAGAGAGGTGAAATAACCTCGACAAAAGTAATATACTAATTTAAAAGCTTTAAAAGTATAAGCTTAAAAGTATAGAAATTAAAAAGCTTATTAAAACTTAAGTTAGCTAGCTAAAAAATTAGCACTTACAAGTAAAAGTAACTGTCACGATTGTGCACGAGTAAGGTTATAGAGCTTCACGGAGGTCTAGTTCAATTACTACGTGAGGTATTATGGTAGGTACAAGACGTTGTGTGAGGAACAGGAAAGTTTAGGAGAAAATTAGTAATTAAATACTTAGCTTAGAAGTCTAAGCACTTTAAGTATAAATTAAGCCTGTTTTAGGTTTAGTTAGTGTTAAGGCAGTTTATGCTTAA